TACTAATTAAATAGTATAACACTTGTCGCCCGTACTTAGTGTATCTTGTTCCTGATAGTAACAGTTGTTCACTGAATTGCATACACACAAAATAAACATGGAATACGTGGAATCAACTGTTAAGCATCTCTATGAACGCTTAAAAAAAACTTACGATTTAAATTTCATGACACATTTAGGATTATGAATCACAAATGAAAAGTTTACAACACCGATACAAATTTTAGTCACTTTAATATTAAGTAAAGTTCAGAAAGAGAAACAATTCAGGGTATTTGAAAGCCTGTGTATAGTGCACTAAAACTCACATCTGAAACAACAAGGTTCATAAGTCCCATTACTCGTACAACTGTAATGTAACAATACGTACACATATGAGATGTATAATAATGGTTGGAGACGGCTTGAATGGGTAATGAAGAAAAACTTTAAAATAAGTTTAACATAACAACAAATGTACCTGATGATGACAAAACCTTGTCGAAACGTTGTACATTTGCTGTTATGTTAAACTTATATTAAAGTTTTTTCTTAATCACCCATTCAAGCCGTCTCCAACCATTATTAGTCTCAAAGTGGGTTCCTCGTCATCGAATATATAAGATGTGTCGTAATTGTTGAATGAGTAAGAGTGCATTCTTCCACACTAGAATCACTATTATAGTTGTTAAAGTGGATATCAATCAGACGGCAGAATCCGATGTGATCACTAATATAACAAGAACATGACCCAAATGTCTAAATATACGTTTTCAAAACATTCGGTCATCTCTATACATTAATGAAATTCAACCTATAAAAACATTTAAATTACCAGCGTAAGCTGTTCGAAAAAATACTATTTGTAAGATTTAATTTCGTCTGTAAGAACAAACGAGATTCTAGACTTTAAAAATCTCGTACTTGAGTCACTATCACCGCCACCTTCTTCAGATAATGTTGAAGCCAATCGCAGCTTTTCCAAGCTTCTAGTCGTTTATATATATATATATATATATAGTATTTCAGATTTTACTTATTAAGTAAGTTATCTCAAGACCTTTATATTAGAAAATGTTCTACTGTAGCGCTAACTTAAATTCTTTATCATAGCTCAACATCCTTGTTTCATAAATGTTAATATTACATCAAATAATGTTTTTTAAGGATCCGGAGTGTAATCCTCTTCTCGCAATATATCAATTAATATTTTATTGAAATATTTACCAAATGACTAGAAACAGTAAATGATAAATATGTCAGAGCTTTTAAGTGGAGCACAGCGATATACCCTACAAAATCCTGATTTATTTGAAAACTTCTTAGTGGCTTAGTTTAAGAGTAATTCCATACTGCGTTTGTTATTGTATAATAACGTTTTTTATGCGTGGACCATCAGAAAAATAAGAAGCATGTAAAAAGCTAACTAAAAGTACTGACAAAACTATATAAAATTATACACTCGTTGCTATTCGCTTGTAAAACGACTTGTGATGACATATGCAATCTTCTTAAAATTGTTTGTTATTAAGCACAAAGCTACACAATGGGCTATCTGTGCTCTGCCCACCACGGGTATCGAAACCCGAATTCTAGCGTTGTAAGTCCGCAGACATACCTCTGTGCCACTGGGGGGCTTTTCTTAAGAAAGAAAGAAACTATGAAAATAATGGCCTAGAAAAGTAACCACAACTCATTTATGAAAAACAAATATGAAAATATGGATTCGCACCTTTCTGTTCCATTTTTCGAAAGTATGAAATTATTAGCATTTATGCTAATGAAATAAATTGTGTATATCGTACGCCAAGATAGGCAAGCATTTTTTTTTTTATTATTGAAACCATTAGTCACTTTCCACAACAATATATGTATATTACGTTGGTATTCACTTCAGTTTTTAAATTATTGTTAGGTGTCTTCGACTCATGTAAGATTATTGCTTGTTCTATAACTGGAACTACCGTACAAATACGATGCTCCAGAAGATGTTCACCCTTTTCTTCATGTTATACTTATCCCTTCTCCGAACCTTACTGTTTACGATGCTAAAGATCAATAATTCTATATAGATATATAGCACGCGGTTTCAAGTTTCTTCGTAGCACGGCCTATCTGAAGAAGGCCAAACCCAGTGGCAAGAACACTGACGTGTTGTGCCAGTTCCTGCTTGCATAGCCGACAAGAATTTCTGTCACAACACACACACACCAACACGGGAAAAAATATGTGCATTCTCCTTTGTACGGCCATATTGTATTTTAGAGACTAAGTGTGTATTACGGCATTTGTGACAAACCACAAAATTTATTATCATATTAGAGAATAGTTCATATCTAAACTGGATTAATTAGTATGTACACTTTCATCAAGATAGTTTAACAATCACTTGCGATGTTATGCCACTCCAACATTGTTTATTAAGCTGAATATTTAACAATAACGCAGTCAGCACGGCAGTTTAAGTTAGACAATGTGATTAATATCTAGCTTTAATATGTTTGAAGCAATTAAAATGAAAAAGACAAACGTAATTAAGTACATTTTGTTTATTGAATATATCGTCACCTATTTATTGACATGAAAATATAAAATAACAAAAGAAAACCTACAACGTTTTTTCTAAATTGATGAACGTACTCATAAGTCACTTATAGCAGTTATGAAACAGTAGGACAGTATTGTACCTGACCATGTTACAAAAAGTATTTCGGTCTAACATTGGGGGTGTTATTGAGAAACTGTTTGTAACATATAGAATACACAACATTCATTATGGCGTAATAGCATATACCAAAATGAACTATATCTGTAGATAACATTTTCTTAGCTTAGGAAATGTTAAAGTGGTGCAATCAGTGTACATATTGCATCCACTCCGATTTTACAGTCTCCCGGTGGGGCAGGGATTTGTCTTCAAATTTACAACGCTAAAAGTCTGGAGTTCGATTCCCGCAGTGTACATAGCAGATAGTTCAATGTGGTTTTAATCTAGAAAAAACAAACCGATTTTACAGACTAAATCATTGCTAAACTTACTGCATTTTTTTTACAAATATGTATTTATTAATATATTTTAGCTTTCTACCTTATAACTGTAAATTTTTCTTACTTGGGTACACGTATACGTGAATAACAGCCTAGGGAATACAAGGTGGTCTTGTTAACCAGCAATATATATGTTGTGATCTGGGTTGCCCTCTTGATGAAGTTTATTTTTTCAAACTTAATTTTCTTACACTTGGTGAATTTTATATTTTATAAAATAATTAGTTATGTTTCATTTGGTGAAATTTGAAATACTGTTGTAACTTAACTTGCACTTTTCCAGTTCTGCAGCTGGTAACCTTTGGTGAAAATGTAAAACCCAAACGTTGAGAAATAACAAGAAAATACATTTCTCATCTGGCACTAAAGGTGATTTATTTAGAATAAATACCCCAGAATGCTACGCACTCTGAACAGAAAAAATAAATAGCCATTAGCAGTGTTGACTCGTGTTGTTTGTCGGGTTACAACAATACCAAACTCATTCTTCCCTTTATATAAATAATAATAATAGTTCAATCTTTTAAACCTTCAGAATCAATGTGACCAAGTAATTGTTTCGTTATATTTTTATGTATGTTACAATAGGTGAATACTCGTATAACTAAAACATCTATTTGTTAGTTAGGTCACCTGATTGCTTTCATTCTTTAAAAATGTAACTAAAAAAACTCGAGAAAGAAACGCTATGACACAGCAGTGGTTAAAAGAACTGCCGTTTATTTAGATAATAGACCAATGTCAAACCTTTACGTTTTTTAACTACATTAATTGTCGCCCTTGATCTTGTAAGGAGCATATAATTATTTTTCAGAAGAATACTTTCTCGTGCACTACATTTTGTTCAGCTTGAAATACAATGAGCGTTCAGGTATTATAAAGCTCTTCAGACGACGTTCAACTTTGGACCCAAGCTTCTGCAGTTTCGCGAATGCAAGTAAACATCTGGCGCTATACCACGTGACGCACTCGTTATGTAGCAAGCAGGTAGCACAACAGACCTCAGTGCGGAAAGAAGAGACTAAAGGAGCGGCAAAACCATACACCACCCAAAACAGGAAAATATAGAACTGATTGACAGTTTTCCACTTTGCTAGCTGCTTTCTCTTAGTATTTCATAAAGTGCAGATCAGAAAACATACGTACACTATCCTACCTACTATGCACCTACCACACTTGGTTATATGAGATTCGATAGCCCCAATGTTTAAACTTTATATTTCAATCTTACAAGTGACCTTGAACAAATCTAGTGTTATAAGCAACGAACAGCGGGGGAAAGATACATGACATAGCTTTTCAATCAAATTGAAACTTTGGAAGACCATTAGCAACAGCGATTAATATTAAATTAATTTACCAGTAAGTGCAACAAAACGCCTTCAACTAGAGGACGCAAAAGTTATCAGCCTCTTTGCTTAAGGAGTTTGGTAGACCCTATTTCCCAAAGTAAGCTTATGAGAGATCTGTCATAAGTACGTAATAACAAAGCAAGTAGTTATTCTCTATTATCTTGGCGTTCGTGTCTACGGATAGAACTTGAGAACACGTACAATAATGATAATGATATTAGACACTGTGTAGGAACTTCAGCAAAGTGGAAGAAAATAATTGTAAACGATCTAATAAAGAATATTCCATTGTGTCAAGTTGAGGCAGAAAATAAAAACAACAGAAAAAAAAAAAGAGTCAGAAAAGGGATGGTAAGCAGAAAGTAAGTTTTCAGAAACTTCAAGTCATCTTTCGCTACAGTTAAAACAACAGTATTGATCCCAGCGTTATTAGCTGTCTACATAGTACACAGGTACATTGGACTCAGTGGCAATTTATATCTTTTCTGCAACAACAAACATTTTATCTGTTTGTCTACCCGCAGTTTCATCTGCGAGGTACGGGTTCTGTCTGCCAAAGACTACCTACTTTGATAGTCGAAGATCTGTTCACCTGGGCTTCAAGGATGGTACTCACGCGGTCACGTGACAGCCTTCCTTCCTGCTCTCCAACCCTCGCTATAGCACTCAGAGCTGCCCTTGGTTGTGGAACCAGACGACTTGTGTTCCCGAACTGCTTAGTGAGCTGCGCTGGCCAACATTTGGTAAGTTGAATAATATTTTGAAATCATTTTATTTAGACAGCGAGAGAAGTATCCAAACACAGCGAATGAAAGCTAAATCAAGTAAAGTATCCGATAATCTCTGTAATAGATTGGCAAGTTCACTGTCGATATTAACTGAGTCTTCGAGAGCTCCTTCGTTGGCTATCGACTCGTCCCACCCAGAACCACCAGTTTTACTGTAGCTGAAAGCTTTATGAGTTGGCAAGATGGCGAACGCGACCATCCAACACACGAGAAGACAAAAACGCACACGCATATAATTTGTATAGTGTACAGCCATTTGAGTGCTATGAACTTTCAATTATTTTTGGATAAGAATCCTAACCTTAAAGCACTGATCTCCACACGTCGAATTATCCGTCATGATAATGGAGTAACGCGGCCTTGCACCGGCATTTCAATGAACTCTCCCCCCCCCCCTCGGGTGTTTTAAATCATGTATTTCTCGTTGTTTGGCCTATGTTAGGCCATATCGCCATGCACATGGTCAAAAGAGTGGACAAAATAATATATTGCTTGATTAATTTTATTGATTTAGTATACATTTTTTCGCTTTTGTGTTTGATTTCAAGTTCGTGTAATTTCGCCATTTTTGATGAGGAGACGTGATGAAACTCAAATTACATGGTTACAACTTTGAGCTAGTGTTAGTAATACCACTTGTTGGTTTTGCATTATTTAACTAGTTAGGCATATGACATTTTGACTTGTATTTTTATTAGAAGCTGTTTTAGATTTGTCGTGTAATTAGAATGATTCGGTTAGTATTAAAACATATAAAACGTCATTTTCTGTGAATGCTTGTTTTTTTTAAGAAAAGCTTATTTTTTTGAATATGCATTTTTTAAATGTGTCTTTGAGTTTCAATGTTACACTGAAACTTCTAAGTAGAGTGTAACTTTAAAAAAATAGTATATTTGAAGTGCAGATGCATTATGACAGAATTGTTTCCCCAGTTAAATAAACAGAAAAATGGTAATATGTATCATATATGTACAGCATAAAGTTTAGTTACTAATTTTAGGCCTACAACTTTGAACTGAAAGGGAGGTTTCCCAGATAAAAATGTGGAATGTACACTTCTGATGTATTATGCTCTATAAAAACACATTTCTCAGTATACTTGTATAATATTATGCCTTCATTTTAAACATATTATACATATATAATCCTCTTGAATCTTATTCAGTTTCTTTCAAATATTCACATGAAAAAGTTATGTAGGTTTTGATTTTTACAAATGATAAAAATATATCAGTGGGAAAAATACTTTTTTATTTATAAGTATGGAGTTTCATGTTGGTTTTCTATACTGTGTTCATAATAAAAAACAAATAAATACAGTGTAATTATTAATGGATTTCAATTTTATTACCTTGAAAAAAAAAGTATAAATTTTACTAGTTTCCAGTTATTTTTCTGATAGGTAAAAAATACTTATATATATATATATTAATTTTTTTAAAAACTCAAAGTAAAGGTTTATACTTTATGAACAAAATAAGAATAGTATAGAGCACAAAAATAGTCTAATATATTTTTTAATAATTGTAATCTACTAAATACAGCACTAAAGTGCCTTTTTTTCATGTAAAAAGAATTTAATATATGTCTTAGTTTTGATATTTTGAAAAAACAAACATCACATTTGTGTATGTGGATTAAAATATTTTTGTTCTAATTATTTCACATTCAGTTTCATTAAAAATTGTCATTGTTTCCGAAAATAGATTTTTAATTATATGAAAAACTTAAAGTATGTTTGGAAATTCAAATCAGTTTTAAACCATGCAATACAGAAGAAGGGTTGGTATTTGTAATTATAATATAAAAGAAGTTTTTGTTTTTGAAAATCATTTTTTGATATTTGATGAGTGGATGGTATAGTTTATCTGTGAAGTTGCAAATACATGTAATGTAATTTCTTATAGTCCTTGACTATTTTAATTTTATTTTTTAGAAAATTTTAAAACTTCTTCAAAGCTGAAAACAATTATTTTAATTTCATATATGAAGCAGTAGTGAATATTCTTATAGAAGTTTTTACCCAGAAATAAATTATTGACTTCTGTCTTGTTCTTAAACTAGAGTCAAACTGTGGTAATACACTTAAACTTATTTTGAACATGTCAGATTTGAAAAATTAAGGTATATATATATTAACCTTCCTTAGAAAGTGATAAATCCAATGCATTATCAACTATATTTATTAAATATCCTTGATTGATTATTTAAATGCATGAATGTGAACAAGATTTTATAATGATACTTAAATTAATGATTTTTTAAATGATCTTAGAAAACAATCTTACAACAACAAGAAATGTATGATTTGAAAATGCAGTCAGAATAGAAAAATATTACATTACCTTGGTCTAACAGTAAGGAGTTGTGTTTCTTGTATACCAGTCTGGTATCATAAGTATGAAAGCACTTGTATTTGCTCATCTGATAACAAAATGTTAGAGCATTAGAATTCCTTTGATAACATTTTGAATGTACGAATATTAGTTAGTTCAATAATATAGGTATTAAAAACTCTTGTATTTCTAGTTTTATTAGACCCTTGTTAAAGGTCTAATAACTGTTAGTCTGATAACATCAAGTATTAAATCACTAGTAATCTTTAGTGCAAGACATACATTAAAGTATTAAAGGCAAAAGCCCAAGTATTTTTTGTCATATAACAAAAGTTATTGTTTCTTCAGTCTGTTAATGTTAAAGTACTATAATTCATAACTTGATGAACATTATTGCATTAATATTCTTTAATATGATAATAATAAAACACTGGTACTTCTTAGTATTAGTTAATTTACTTTTAATAGCACTGATATTTTTAAGTCTAGTAACATAAGTAGTAAAGCACTATTAAATACTTTGAGTCTGATAATACACATTTCAAGTATTATAGCACCAGTATTCCTCAGTGTGGTAAAATATTATACCTTACAACCATAGCAAGTGTAGATCTTTAAAAAAAAGATTAAAGCACAAGAAATGTGAACCCCAATAGAAATAATACTAGACCATTGGAAAAAATTGGTTCTAATAAACATTAAATCCATGAAGGAGGAGGAAGCACCTTTTGAAATTTCCTTTATATATATTTACATACATAATACTGTATGAATATTTGTTGCACCTATATTCACAGATATTGTTGTTCCAAACATAAAATAATAAAAATTGAAGAAATTATATGTGTAATTACTATGACACTTCTGAGAAATTTTTGGTTAGGTTTGAATTCCATATCTATCATATCATGCAAACGATATCTCAATTTTTTAATTCTATAATCTTTTAAAATACCATTTGTTTTTTAAGTACTTTATAAACTTTGAGAAAGGCCTGCTAAAAAGAGAGAGGCTATAAAAGTGATAAATTTAGATTTGAAACTATATAGGAATTTTTTTCTTTTGTTACTTTCTGTGTAGATAATTTATGGAAATGTAATTATTAGTATTTTTTGCATTTATTAAACTCTGCCTTTGATAAGGTTAATGATTTAAGAAAAAGATCAATGACTGTTGTTTTTAATGTTGAGGTATAATTATACATATTTTGTAAGATTTTCTTATATATTGTGAAATACTGTTTGAGGCATATTTTATTTGATACCAATATATTTTGTAATGATTGCACAAGAACAATTTTCTGCTTAATACAAGGAGCTACATGTGCCCATGTATTTCTATTCTTGTACTTTATTAAAGTTGTAATTAATCACAATAATGTAATATATATGTGTGTGAGAAGTATAAATAATATTTTCCCTTCATTTATTAATTTTTTTTCACAAAAATTTTACATTTCAGGAAATATCAAGAATTGAAATACTTGTTTCCCTATATAATGCAATTTCCAACCATGTATAAAAGGTATGTAATATACTTGATCAGAAACTTGTGCGTGATTATTATTTGTGTTATTATTAAAGAACACGTATTGTTGGAATTTTTTCTTTTGCATGACATTAACTAAAAGGAGGGGTTTATAATTTTTTATTTATAGTGAACTTGAAATAGTTTGAGAACATTGATCTACACATTAAGACTAGCATGAAGGTTACTGAACATGTCCTTTAACCAAACATGCCCATTGGACCAACCTTGTATTGGTGAGGGAATGTTGATATAATTTCTGAACTTAATAAATGTATCTACACAAAATGTGGCAAAATATGAGTAAATGTACAAGTATTTGTACACAAAAAACTAGATATGTCTGTGAATTGCCAACATCAGTCTGACTCGCACTCTGACAAATTGGTGTGCAAGATGATGTTCATGTGAAGAATAAAAATACTCTTGCCCATTATATAGTTTGCATAACCTTTAGAACCTCCAAAAATACATATTTAATTATTTTTTTTTAGTATCCCTGTATATTATATCTGGCATTTACTCCCTTTTATCATGAACTGTCACTAAATCAGCAATTTAGGGTAAAATGAATAATTAGTAACTGAAATAAAATATGTAATATTATGTTGAAAGGTACGTTGTTAAATATTATGGCATGCATTGTTTATTCAGTCAGCATTTGGTTAATCAGTTATCATTTCTATTTGATTAAAAATTTAAGTCCTAAATTTTGATTGACCTATTGCTCCAATTTCATAATGAACTAGCTTCAAATCATAGCATACATATAGTAATTATTACTAGACAAAAAAATAAAAGAATTGAATTAAAAAATCTTTCAGATGGGATAAGACATATCCAGAGTAGGGGGTATCAGAAATAATTAATTCATTAGATTATATTATTCATGGGATACAGAAAGTGAAAAACTCCTCCCAGTTTGTGCTTAATACATACATAAAGTTATGATTAATGTGTTTATTACTAGAACTACCCTGTTTATTATTCCTTATGATTTGTTATGTCCAACCTTTCACAGAAAAGCTTTTTAAGTATCTTGACTTAAATATAGCATTCGTAATAAGAATCAGAGTTTGGTATGTTATGTGAGAAATAAGAAATATTTCTCAGAGATGAGACCTGTAATGTTGTGTACTTTCATATCACAGATTGTATAACAGCATACTTCAGTTTCTTTTCATAACAGAGAACAAGCAATAATCGCAGAATTAACATAGATGAGACCTGTAATGTTGTGTACTTTCATATCACAGATTGTATAACAACATACTTCAGTTACTTTTCATAACAGAGAACAAGCAATAATGGCAGAATTAACAGAAAAACCCCTTTAAATCTTAGAGTTAATGCTGCTATGAACATAGAAGCTCAATTGAAGAAAGTACAAACTAAGTATATCAATATTGCATTGATTTACTTAGTTTTCAAGCTTCATGATTCTTAATTAAAATGTGTGGAAAGTCTAACACCAAAGCACTCTAGTTAGTAAAAAAATATCAAATGTATATTCTTCATAAAAATTTCAGTTTTTTTGAGCTTTCAATTAGTATTTTTTCCTTTAATATTTTAAGAAATAACAAATTATCTTACTAAAAGTAATTTCTTGTGTATTTTGACTAGGAAAATTTTTGTTGTGAAGAAATAGGTGAAACACAAAAATAAAGTTTTGACAGCTTGAATGTTATAGGTTATTAAAATGAATTAGATCACTTAATTAAACACCTGATGAATTCTACATGTAGGGTTCATCAGACTGAGTTCATTTAGGCACTCTGCTGTCTAACTCAAAAAAGATTTTGTAGCCAACTGGAAGTTTTGACTTCATTAAGTATTTCTGATAACATACAAGATTTATTTTTAAAGAACTGGATGAAAAAATCTGATGATTGTGAAATGTAATATCAGTAATTACTAAACAACCTCTATCAAACTTCCCAATTTTTTACAATTGCTAAAAAAAACATTATTTTTACACAATGAATAACAAAAATGTGTATTTATTTATATTATGACTCATCATCTTTTTTTTTTCACCTTTTGAAACAATGATTAAGAACCCTTTTTCTAGTGTTAACTTTAAAAGTAGGAGCTCAAACCTAGTGGATAATGTAGCAATGTCAAATTACTAATGCTCACCAGTTCCTCTATGTGCTTATTTGTTTAAGAATAAGATGAGGGTTAATAAAAAAAAATTGATGGAGAAAAATGTCTACAAAAGTAAAGTATTTCCTTATGTAGTTAGAAATTTATTATTCGAAATGTGAAAGAAGCTTGAGTATTGAATGTAATTTTCAGTTAAATCAATGTTATTTGTTGAAAATTATCTGCATTATATACATGAAGTATTTTTATTTATGTCTATTACATTGTTTAAGAAGTTTTAGAAGTATTTCACTCCTCTTTCATAAAAGCTGCACAAATTAATGAATTATTCCTTTTTTTTCCACAGTTTGAGCAAAGTTGATGTCAACTGCCTGTGGTGTACATGTAAATAATCGGTGAAACATGTCTCCTTCAGGGCAAAAGTTCCTTTGTGATACTTGCAACTATGCAGCTGCAAGTCGTCGTGTGTTGGCTCGTCATGTAGCCATTGCCCATTCTGCTAAAGTTTTCAACTGTCCATTGTGTCCTTTTGTGTCTCGCTACCAGGCAAACTTATACAGACACAAGAGAGTTATCCATGGAATACGTAGAACTTCCACGTGTGAGCTGTGTGGTTATATAGCACCAAATGAAGCTTCCTTGTGCTATCATAAAGAAAGCTTTCATCAACATGTTTTAGAAAAACAGAAGAGGCGTTATGAAAATGAGAAGAAGAGACTTTTAGAAGATGATGATCAGATTAATAAAAATTTTTTGATGAACTCATTATCAGCTAATGAGAAATCTCAGTCTGATCATCCAGTAAACTTTAGCATTTTTGACTCCTCTCATTCTGGCTGTGTGGTCAATCCTTCAAATATGGCAGCAGGAATAGAAAGGTTTGATAGTTCTTTGGAACTTTTAGAAGAAGCTTCATTTTTTGACACAGTGCCTGCAGCATCAGCAGCAAGTAATTCTGGATCTTCAGAATTAGGTCCAGTACGTATTCGCCGAAAATATACATGTGAGCTTTGTAATCTAGTCACAATTAACCCTAGAGAGTTCCTCTATCATAGACAGCAAGTTCATAGAGAGAGAATAGCAGTTTTTGAATGTCCATACTGTCTGTATGCATCAAAGCATTTCCAGAAATTACAGCGACATTGTGGTATGGTCCATCAGAAAGTGTTAAAACCTGTAGGAGGAAGTAAGTTGAAAGATTTAGAGAAGTCAGCCATTCAACAAAAGATCCAGAAGCAGCAAGCTGAAAGTTTACATAAAGAAGAGAAAGCCTCAAACCAGCTGTCACTGCCAGTAGGAGGAAGCACACTGAAAAATTTAGAAAAATCAGTCATTCAACAAAAGATCCAGAAAGAGCAATCTGAAATTTTACAAACAGAAGAGGAAGCCTCAAACCAACTGGTATGCTTGAATCAGTCTCTAGTAGAAGGTGAAGAAAATAAAGGAGTTTCTGAAGATAGTAGAGCTCAAATTGAAAACACTGCTTCAAAAGATGTAAAGGGGGGCTATCAATGTTCTAAGTGTCATTTTCAGGCAAAGAGTAAAATTATATTAATCCAGCATGAAAAAATATCCCACTTAAAGAGAAAATTCTTTCGTTGTTTACAGTGTGATTATGTCACTCATGAGAAAGCTAGGTATACTAAACATTGTAAATATCATTCCCTACCAAAAGTAAAGTGTGATTTTTGTAATTTTTCAACTGCATATAAATGGAATCTTGATAGGCACGTGAGAAATCATCGACTTAGTGGGATGTTTAAATGTGGAAAGTGCAGTTATACTTGTCACTCTGCACATGCTTTGAAAACTCATACATTTCAACATCATGATCCCACTTTGGATGAACAAAAGGTGGAAAATGAAATTAGAAGCTTTAACACTGGTACAACAAATGAAGAGGAGAAAAGCAAATTATCTGTAGATGAACAGCCACCAGGTAACTTAGAAGAAGTAAATAATGCACAAGGTCTGGAACAAAATATTCAAACTATTGTGACACAAAATAAACAATTTGACAGTTCAAACTCTAATTTTGCTGTCAAGCAAGGGAAAGTTTACAAGAAAAATTATAAATGTAGCTATTGTACTTATCGTGCAGCCTGGCCATCAGATCTCAAGAAACATGAAAGCTCTCACTCCTCTAAGAAATTGCATTCTTGTCCTATATGTGGGATGGGTTTTGCTTTGCTTCCTTTATTGGCACGTCATCTTCGACTCTTGCATGAGGATAGTGAACAAGCAAGAAATATTGCATGTGTTATAGAAATGCTTTCATCTGGAAAGATAAAAAAGAGAATGCCAATTCTTAAAACTTTGTTGTCAGAATGTCTAAGGGAGGGATCACAGTCTGGTGGTAAAATTCAGTCAGCTTCTGCTAGCTCTGCTCCTTCTTCGACACCCTCATTTAATAGTATACAGGTACAAATGCCCCATATGTCAGCATCTTTGCAAAGTGTTAAATCTGACAAACCACTTCCTGTGTGTGTTGTATGTGGCTACAAAACACGATGGATCTCTGAATTGGAAAAACACATGAGAGTTCACTCAGGAGAAAAGCCCTTTAAGTGTACCCACTGCAATTATAAATGTAAGTGGAGAGGAGATTTAACAAGGCATATCCAGAAATACCATCCAGAAAAGCCCATGACATTATTAGTCAGTAAGAAACCAGTTTTGAAGATGAAAATAAAAAATCCAAAAAGCTCTCTCCCCATCATTTCAAGTTATATTACAAGTGAAAATGTCACTCATTCTGAAACAATTAAAAATAGTGACCAAAGTGAAACTTTATTATCCATTGCAAAAGCTGTTTGTCACAGTCAATCCAAAGACTTGAAAAATTCACAAATTGAGATTTCTGAAAATCAAGAAACACCATTGGATTTAAGTTTAAATAATAAAAAGTTTAATTTAGAAAATCAGGAAGAAATTGGTCAAGAAAAATCACATAGCAAGGACATGAAGATGTCTTCAGATACAGAAGTGGATGTAGAAACAGCTGGAAACAAGAAAAATGAAAAACAAATGGAACAAGAAAACATTTATAATTTTCCAATGGTAGAAACTAAAATTGTTAAAAAATACCAGTGTGCATACTGCCCATTCATAACTCAAACAGCTTCTCGCTTCCATGTCCACATTGTACAGCATTTTAATAGAAAACCATTCATGTGCTCAGCCTGCTGTTACAAATCTAACTGGCAGTGGGATATTACAAAGCATATCAAAATGAAAATGGCAAGAGATGTCAGTCATCAAGGAGCAACCTGTTTGTTAACTGATGAAACGGGCAGAAGGAATTATGACAAATACAAAGACTTTCTGATCGATGTACCAGTAGAAATTAAAAGCTCAAAATACAAAGTTGCTGTGAATCCTGGTAACACTGAGAGTTTGGAAACAAGTGACTTTTATAAGAACAGTGATCAATGCTCTGCAGAGTTAAAAGGTGACATGGTCAATATTGTTGTGACACCAGACATTCCTTTCCCTGTTGAAGATTCCAATGAGGAAAGAGCACAGGTCGAATCCTCAGTTGTTGAAAATACAGTTCAAAAAGAAGCAAAGTTTTTCTACTGCAACCATTGCAACTTTCATCATCTGGCAAAGAAAGTTGTTGTTAGTCATATGGCAGTTCATGCTGGTCTAAAGCCATTCCGTTGCAGAATCTGTGGTTTGGTTTCAAATTGGCGACATGTGATCCTAAGACACATTAAGGGCAGGCACGGAGGACATCTTGATGACTTAGAGGAACGCATCACTGTCTCTCAACATGGCAGAAAACTTTATCTTTCAGGTGTCCATTCTGAAGATAGAAAGTTCAGTTTCCCAAGAGAGTCAACATCAACATCAGAGTCACTAAGCTGTCAGTTATGTCCATATACTTGTGTGAAAGACTCTCATATGAAACTCCATATGAAACAGCATCAACCAAGAGAAGGAGCTGTTTTTAAATGTTTGCATTGCCCTTACTATGTCAAGTTCAGGAAACCTCTTAGACGTCATATGAAGCTACATGCACAGGCTCTTGAAAATAATCAGAATCCTCTACCCAATAATATTCTTGGAGATGATAACATCCAATTTACATACCCTAAAATTGAAGCAGAAGCAAACCAAGCTATAGTGGATGTAACCAAAGTTGGTTCATCAAGGAAACCAGCAACTTATGTATACACTGGACTTGCAGCTACATTCAAGAAGTATTCCTGCGATGGATGTCCTTATAAAACTGACAATAGGTCTCAATTCTTATACCATAAACAATTTCATCGCTCAAACAGTATGGCTCCCTACAGGTGTACTGTCTGTTCATATTGGGCAACACGACAACATCTTATCATACAACATATGAAAGTTCATAAAGAGAGCAACAGCTCAGAAGCGCCTCAAGAAGAACTGCCTCAAATGGACAGAACAGCACAAGTTACACAATTAACTCTTGACAAGCCAGAAGGTGGTAAGTATAAATGTCGTTTTTGTCCCATGAAAAATAAACGTAGAGCTAATGTGCTTAATCATGAAGCAATGCATGGAAAGGATTCTTCTTCAAAATTTGCCTGTCCACTATGTAATTATCATTGTAATAACTTAGGAGTTCTTAGTGGGCACCTGAAGCTTCATCAAGAAAGTGAAGTTGATCAATTCCTTACTTCAGCATCAGAAGGGGTGCAAAAATGGAACAGAGAAAATAAGTCATTATTACAACAGTATACAGCTACAGACTCCTCATTAGCAAATGATTCAAACTTAATTGGGGTTTCTTCTCCTAAAGAATCTCTTCCTGTAGTGAGAAAGAAAGTCTTTAGCTATTTCTGCACCAAATGTCCAGCTGTATTTAAAAGCACAGCAGACTTCACAATACATAAAGGTTTCCATGGGTCAAACTATCCTTTCTCATGTCCACACTGTGATTATAGAGCAAAGCATAAGCCTCATCTTCACAAGCATTTCTTTGTTCATACTCCAGCCTATGCAGCCAAACGGGAAGCATCATATGGACCTCCAGTTGAAAAGTTCCGAGAAACTAATCTGGCACAAGAACAGGAATTGGTCTCAAGTACTAGTTTTATTGATGAGTCATCAAAAGCAAACAATGAGAATACCTTGAAACAAAACCCAAAATCTACTGCTCAGTGTCTGCAACTTGAAGAAATAGAAACTAGATATTTTTGTGAAAAACATGATATCCAGTATCCTCAAAAGCTACATGAGTGCTTACTGTGTCCTGCAGTTTTTTATAAACAATCAACTCTCCAGTTTCACTTACAGTTACACAATGGAACTGGACATTTTGCTTGTTCTTCTTGTACTTATGCAGTTGATAATGCAGACAACCTGTCAACTCATGTCAGACTTCATTTTAAGGGTGATGTTGTCTGTAAAGAAAAAGTGAGAAATAAAACACAAACTGGTCACTCTTGTCCCAAATGCCCTGCTGTCTTCACTAAAATTGCACGGTATGAACGTCACATTAATCTTCATGGGCAAAGTAATCGCTATAAATGTGATAAATGTGACTACTCTGTCAAATTTGCAGCTAACCTACAAAAACATAAGCCTGTGCATGAAAGAGATCATACTCAGATTTATACTAAAAATGTTACTTTTGACATTCAGCCAAGTTCCTCATTGTTTAACAGTGAAACTTCACCTAAAACAGATTACACCAAATCTCATGTGAATGAAACAGTTGAGGAAAAAGAAAAAAGGTTTTTCCACTGCGACCGTTGCCCTTATGTTAATCAACGAAAAGATGCTGTACAGAGTCATCAAAAACGCCATGGTGCCACAGGAGGCATTAGCTGCCCTTATTGTGACTACACCACAATGCAGCCATCTTGTTTGCGGGATCACATCAGATGTCATCTTCAACCCCTAGCATTCCTAAAGGCACAGAGTTTTCTGAAAGTTGATAGTATGGAAATCTGGCACACTGAAAATGAGACCAAAGATTTGATTTTCAGAGATAGAGGACAGTCTTTCGTGGATCGTTTCTCATCTCCTTTTGAAGAACATTTACTTGAAAATTTTCCAGATAGCACTATTGTTGAAGCAGTAAATAGCAACTTGTGTTTAAATGAATCTGAAAAACTAAATATTGAACTAGATAAAGTAGATGGGAAAGTTGGAAGTAATGGACCTTCTGTTGTAGAAAATGAAACAGTAGAGTCAGTAATAAAGGTGAATTTACCAAGAGAAAATGATGATAGCAATAACTCTGTCATAACAGTCCATGTGGCTAATGAAATAGAAAATAATGTTGTTGAAGAAGTTCTCAGTCAACATAAAACACTTGAAGTGGTATTAACAGATGTCCTAGAAAATGTATCAGAAAATCAACCAGAACAAAAAAGAAAAGACTTTTTAAAAGAAGTTAATGATAAAGACAGCAAATATGATAAACAACATACTACCATGGACTTGGGATTAGAAGAAACACATAAGCATTGTGAATCAGAATATAAAGATGGTAATAAAAAAGAACACGGTGTGAACTTAGGACCAGAAAAGATATGTAATCAACCACATGTAGAACATACAAAACATATTAAACAAGAACACACTGTGGACATACAACTCGTAAAGACACCAAAGCAACATGAATCAGAATTTACAAAAAATTATAAACAAGAAACGTTTCTAAGATCAGAAGAAACAAATAATCAACCTAAATCAAATCATACAGAGAATGATAGACAAGAAAACAACATTGATCTACAAGTAGGAGAAGCAGAAAATAAAACTGGATCAGATTTTACAGACAATTACAAACAAGAACACGATATGAACCTACAAACAGGAAAAACAGCTAAGGAACCTGAATTGGATCATGTAATGAACAGAAAACAAGAGCATAACATGAACCTAAAAATGGGAGAAATATGCAAGGAATCTGAATCAGATTACGCTGAACATACCAAACAAGAACACGATATGAACCTACAGTCAATAGAAACAGAACAACTGGGAAAACATTATGCAAAAAATGATAAACAAAAACATGATATGGGTATGAACTCAGAAGATGCAGAGAAGATATGTAAATTTACGTTTACTGATAATTGTAAAGAAGAGTTCAATACAAAGTTAGGGCTGGAAGAGACAATGCATCAACCAGAATCAAAAATTAAAGATAATGTTTTGCATATAGTGTGTCCAGAAACTGAAAAACTTTCAGAAACACTGCTGAATATCTCAGAGTTGTCCTATAATGTAAACTCAGAATTGCCATCAACAAGCTTTCAAACTGAAATGTCAGAAGACGCATTGGAACCTCAGAAGTGTGGAAAATATTTTTATAATGATATTGTTTCAAAACAAAATAATCTTGAATATAATGATGAAGACTCACTTGATGGGTTGATCCTTACAATTGAAGAAGATATAAAAGTAATCAAATATAAAGAGTTTAACAAACAAAAAGTTAAAACTCTTGATTTCAATCATACTGATGGGGAATTCAGTAATGGCCATTCCAATGTAAAAACTCTTAAAGCAAATTTTCTGGAACCTCTAGAACAGTCTGCTTGGAATATGGAAAATGTAGATGAAATAAAAGCCAGAAACCAATCCTTGTCAGAAAGTAGTTTAACAATAGAAGAAAATGATGTAATTGTTAACAATATTGTTGGAAATATAATAGATGAAGTTGTAGGAAATAGTTGTGAAATGACTGAAGTAGTCACCTTGGAATCAGCACGGGAAGATTTAGAAGACATTGAAATGGAAACCATGGATCCAGTAACAGCAGTAATCCCTTCTAGTCTTGATGTTACCTCTGAATTTCTAGAACTAGAATCCTGTATAATACACCCAAATGCAGCTAATATAACAACTTCAATAGTAAAGTGTTTGGAACATTCAGGTTCATCTTTGACATCAACTTTGGACACTGGTGACACTTGTAAAGAAAAGAACAACATTCCATCTATTGATAACCCATTTAGTATTAACAATCGAAATACTGAAATATCATCATAAGAACACGATACAGGAACCAGTAGTCTCATTAACAGTTATTTAAAAACATCAGTTAAATGATACTAATGATGTTCATAGCTATGGTTTTGTGAATATGGAAATTAGTGTATCCATCTGTTTATCACTTTGTAAGTGCTATACACCAAATACAGAACTAACTAACAATTGCTTTTCAAATACTAGTAAAAAAACAAACAACATAGAATAAAGTGCATGTACAAGTGCCTAAAAATGTCTTGGAAACTAGAATAGGTTAAATTCTATATTTCTAAGAGTTAGAGGAGAGTTATCATAAGTTTTCCAGCAGAGGATAAGTTAACTAAACCAGATCTGAAACCATGTAACTGATGATGCTAAATATGCTCACTTATATTTCTGAAATCAAATTAAAAGTATATTAATTTACCTATGTTTACATATTGGGGATTTAATATATGTAAAAGTTATGAAATATATGAAAACAAAGTGCATTAATAGATATTTGATAAAGCCCTAAAAAATTATGCCATTATTTATAAAATGTTAAAAATGTGCATTTCCAAATCCTACAATACTGCATACAAGTTTGAAGTATTTAGTGGATTAGGTGGAATTTATTTTATTCGCCAGTATTAGATCTGCTTAATATTGATAGCTTGTCCTTTAATTTTGTAGAATATATACATATGGATGACAAAAATCCTAAAATATGTATATTAAGATTTTGGTTAGATGTTTAGTTAAGCTTACAAAAAAAAAAAAAAATTGTTAGTAACTTATACAAGAAAGCATTTTCATAGAAAATAAAACACTAAAAAGCAATTATTATTAGTTTACTATGTAAAAAGTGACTAACAACATTGTAAAGTTGTAATATTAATTTTCCTGCAAACAGTGCCTGTAATTGCTATTATTATTTTGTATTTTTAAGTGAATATTAATCAGCCTTTTAAAAGATCTTGTAAAATAGTTGTTCTTAAAACTTTTTATAGTCAACTTGGTAAAAAGATAAGTATAAATGTAAATATCAGCTCTTTGATGATAAAAAAGCCCAGTTATAGTGTTATTTTCTTATAGCAGCCCCACATTTGAAGAGATTTTGAGAGTTGATGTAAAACTTTGTTTCATAAGTTCTTTCATTCAAGTGAGATGATGTATATTACTTTTGTTGAAAATATATAATGCATATATATATTTTAAGTATGGATATTATGTGTAATTTTTTATTGTGTGCTGAACTTAGCTGTTTTAAGAATGTTTCCACTTTACTTTTGTTGGTGTGTTAAGCCATGTTAAAAGCTACTACATATTGTTTCCTTCTACAATAAATATTTGTAGAGTTGGAGTATTTATATCCAGTTGGTGGATCCCAGTTTGCAAGTGTTTGAATGGATACTTCACAGTTGTATACCGGTATTATAATTTACCTAAACAGTTTGAAAATAAAATATTATAGAGTAATTAATATTGTATATTTTGTACTGGTTTGTTATAATTGAAAGATGAAGACAAGGTTTTATGCATATGTTTTGAAATACTATAACATAGTTATTCAACACATTAAATTCCATTTTTAGTAGCTTTGTTTTGTACTAACAAACATGAAATACAGTAAAGAAAAGTGACTGTAAACTTCCAACACAACATGCAGAACTATTGAGATAAATCATTTTGTTTTATGAACAGGAAGCACTTATAAAATTGCATAGTTTTCCAGAGGTTATTTTAAATTTTTATTTGAAACCAGTAGATCAACGGCTCTTGATTATAGGTTATTGGCCTATATTCATATATACATACATGTAATTTAATGACAACAAGGGGCCAGCTCTGCCAGTCTTTATCATTCAAATATTTATCAAGCCTTTCCTTAAATCCCTTTAAAGTAACTGTATCCATCACATCTGAAAGCAACCCATTCCAAAGTGATATTTGTGTCCCCTAGTCCTAACATTCTTATCATTAAATACAAGAAAGATGATCCCATCAATATAATCAATTCCCTAATAATATGAATTCTTCCTTTTTCAAGAAAAGACAATTTCAAAGATGTTAACCTAACCTCGTTTGACAACCTTTCCATCCTACTGGTAGCCCTCCTCTGAACCCTTTCCAACAATTCAACCTAAAGTCCTATTTGTCCTGCCACTAACAGCAGGTCCTTTTATTATATACTAATATTAAGGTTATTCCCATCAAAGTCATACTCATAATTCAACTTATGATATCCCATATGCATTACCTTGCATTTATTTTTCCAATTCATCAAATAATTAAAATCCCTTTGAAGCAGCAACATCACCCTCACAGCTAGCAAAAACCAAGACCTTTAACACCATCAACATGTTTAAGTAATTTATTGACCAGTCCTTCATCTATGTCATTTTTGTCAATGACAAAGAGCAAAGTTCCTAACACTGGGCCTTTAGGTGCCCTACTTGCGATAATAATCCAGTTTGATGGAATTCTATTAAGTTAACCATCTGCCTTCTTCCAATAATCACAATCAAACTCCGAGAATAATGAACTATCATATTTTTATACAACTTGTATACACTGCACAGCAATTAAAACTCTAAAAAGAACGAACTAGCATATACTATATAGCCCGTAAAATATGACGAGGCAAATATTACCACCGTTACCCTATCCTCACATTTCATAGCTAACTGAAATAAATAAATTTTGCAAAATCAAGCTTGACCAACAAAGAGGGAGAAAAGTGCAGTCACACGTTGATAAATTCCTTTATGAGCCAATCAAAATTAAGATCATTCATGAAGTGAATTCGTGGCCTATTCATATTATAGAAATGTCTTTCTTTTATATAGACCCTTGTCAACGGAGGTACTTTGAAATAACTCAGTTGCAAGACAATTGTTATGCTTACCAGAAGCAACAAGGTTGTTGTTTTATTGTTTTTTGCACAATATGCAAGCTGTACCCTGTCCTCCGCGAGGAACTGAACCCTTTATCTTAGCGTTGTAAGTCCGTAAACTTACCCCTGACCTACTAGAAGGTAAGGAGTTCAACATTACAGGACAAAAATTATAAAAATGAATAATAGCACTAAAGCGCAAAAAAAGGCATCTTTACAATGCATTAATTATATTTGTCAAAAAACAGTTTGCATATTATACCTTTTTTTTCAAATAAAATTGTAAATTAGTATTTCAACTACATACGTTCCACCATATCAATTGCTGATGAAACATTTGTTCAATACAGAGCTCATTAAAACAGCAGTAATTGTCGGAACACTATTTACTCGAGCCATTTGTTATAACAATTGTTGTGGAATGAAGGCTTTCCTAAATAGCTCAAAACGACTTTAATTACTTAGACTTGTCATAGTATATTACTACTAGGCCTTTTTTAACATTATATTTTTGTTCAGATCCTTAACTTGACTCAATTATCTGTCTCTATATCTATCTGCAATTATATCTCCGCTTTATTTGCAGGGCTTATATACAAAAAAGAGGGCGCCTAGACTAGACTAGAGTCGCCAGGAAAAGTCAAGATTCTTCGAGAATCTCAAGACGTGTTACTAGCGTCACGAAACTTCCGCTGTTGTAACAATACAATAAGGACTCAACTGATAGCACTGATAAGTTTGTTCATGAAGTGTATCATAATGTTACGACAGCGGGGTCACGTGACACTAGTAACACGTCATATTCTCGAACGTTCACGTCCCTTCCTGAAGTATCGAGAGGCTACTAGATATGCGGAAGTCTTGTATATATATAAGCCGCCAAGAAGTGACGGCAACAATGTGTAATTGACAGTTGAGTCAAGCACGTGAGACGTTCGTTGTGAATTATAGCGTTTGTTATAGGGCGACTGTGGAAATTAAGTGTATTGCAAAGTTGTATTCAGAAAGAATAAACCAGTTTTATTTAGGAAAGGACTTGTATCGCTAAAGTTTCTTCGGAAATAATTTTTACGGAAAATTAACTAACGACCAGAGACGTAACAATAATTTGTGTATGTTGTTAGCAAAAGTATCTTGAAAAGGTAAATTTGTATTACTAAAGCATTTATCATTTATTTTTAGTTTAAGTCTGTACAATTAGGCCTTGAAATGAATAAACCTCAACTATATTATTTTATAGAATCATAGTTATCCATAAACGAAAATACTGAAAAATGTGAGAAAGAAGAAACCTGCTGTTTCTATTAAATCTACAGCATATATTTTCCAATGCTTTGTAGTTTTTAAGAAAAACTAAGAAAAATTTCTTCTTTAATCAAATGCTCAAGTTAGTTTGCCTAATATATTATATGAAAATACTGTTATAAGCTATATTTTTGATACATCAATTTAGATGTTTGTTTGCTGGAGAGAGATAATGAAATATCTAGAAAGTTTATGATAATTAGAAATCTAGAAGTTTCGTGTAGCAATTAGAAAACAAGTAACGATAAACATGCTAGCTAGTATGTTAGTTAATCAGTGATGTATTCAATGAGTCAATGAGTGAATCAGTTCAGAGCCAGTTAGTGAGTTATTCAGCTCTGTGATGCAATTAGTAAGATGAACGGTAAGTAGGTTAGAGTACTTATTATCGACCCATTAATGAGATAAATGTTTACAATAACCAAAAAGTCTATTTATAAATTAGGCATACAATAGTTTCGAAGTTTCATTTGAAAAAATTTCTGTGAAGCTATGTTACCCGTGAATATAACCTGTAGTAACTGTTATTGAAGAAATAACCATGCCATTATTTTTATCAAATAATCCCAAAGAGCTCACCCAATGATAAAATACGTTACAAAATTGGTGTAGAAGTGGGGTTATTTTGGTGAAAATAAAACAAATCTTTGAATAAATATCAAGCTGACAACCAAATCATGAGGCAAGATTGAAACTTTTCTAGAGATGATGAAAGAATTAAAAGAAAGTCAAGAATGACAGGAAAGAAATTTAAACAAGATAGAGACAGAAATTAAAAAGAACTAGAAAAAATAGACACGAAATTGGAAAAGTAACAGAAAGTTAAAAGAATATCAACAAGAAAGAGACAGAAAATTAGAAGAAAAAGAAAGGGATTGAAAAATAGAACAATGAGACATAGAATTAAAAACCAAGAAAAAAGAGAAAATTTTAAAAGATGAGTTAAAAGAAATGGAATATTTAAAGAAGAGTTAAGAACAAAAATACATATGATTATAGACCAGATCAATGAAACTATTAGATTAGGCGGATTATTAGAATCACCTTTCACTTCTGTTAAAAGTTGTATGAAATATTATATAGTGTAGCATTAGGAGTAAAATTCGACCAGTAGTCAGTACCAAGACTTATCGGATCTGTTTTTATGCAACCCTCATGTCTTTTACCATATTTAATAAAGTAGACATGTCAGTCATCATCACAGAATTTAAACAATCCTTAAATATTCTTCAAATGAATCAACAAGTTAACCAATGACATTAGTTCTTGTTGGCAACAAGATAACGAGAAGCTATTTAGCAGCTTTGATGTCAATCATAATTAAACCAATCTGATAGTCTCTACTGGCTTTGTGATTTGTATGACTGGTCAATAATGATAAATATATTCAAGTGATGCATTTTATTAGCTAATGCACTGTGATTGGTATCCACCCCCTTGATATTAGTGCATGTAATGTCTTTTTGTCATTCATCAGAATGGGAAGCAGAAAAATACAAGACTTGGGTTTATTATTATGAAATTTCTAATTTAGTTGCCTGTCTAATATATATTTGTTTCTTTAAAACCATAAAAACAGTGGTTGTATGTTATAGTAAACTATATCATAAATTATACATATGAGTAAAATATTTTGCTGCATTTGCACATAAGTGCTAGCAATTTTTTTATTAAGAATCACTTCTGTGTAGTATTATCTCATTAGTTCCTAGATGATAACACATCTCCATATACAGATTAGCTTCCTTGCACATTTGCCAAATAGACTTGCATGCCACTAGCCTTGAGGCAACTCCAATCTAATTTCATATGATTTGACGTAAATTGCCCCACTGCATGGTGATATCACCATGTAACAAATAACCTCCATCAATAGGAGAGTGACACACCTCCATGAACAATAACGCTCCCTATGCAGTTGTACTCGTAAACCTTCATTCTTTTCATCAGCACTGTAAAGCACAGACGTGTTTCAGTTTGCTGGGATTTATGTGACTTCCGAAACTTGTATATCACTTTCAATATAAATTTCAAGTGAATTTCATTAGTTATTTTCTGAGTGAAGATTTTCCTCACACATAACATACTACAACCATGACTTGTGAAAGTTTGTTAACTTTGGAAGATATGATGCCCATAGTCCAACATATTATGGGATCACCATCTCCTTTCTACACCTCGTGGCAGAAGTGCTTCATCACGCTCCAGATGATTTTTTAGGGAACTCATTTTCTTCCTTTTCACTTTTGCCCATTCTACTTCTACCCTTTCCTCCTAACCTGGTTTCTC